TAGGAGAGGTTTTGGTAGAAACCGAACTCCCACCTGTAACCTCAACAACCTCGGCTGCTATGGCTGCTAAAAGCGGTTCCCCGTCATGTACAACATGAACTTCTTTGAGACCGAATGATTTGAGGAATTTGACTAGCTTCCCCACGGTGACTTTTCGGTAATCTCCTGCATAGGTAGCAGCTGTGCCTACACAATACGTCGGTACGTGTACCACAGCGATCAAACGGATGCCTCGATACCAGTATTGATCCATCTGCACCTCAAGTGGGTCGACACTTTTGCGTGTTCGGGCGGGTGAGAGCCCTTTTGATCTTACACAGCTAGGACAGCCACCCCAGTAGGGGGTATGACCCTGACGTTGGTGGCGCAATCTAGCTTCGGCACCGATGTTTTCGGGGAGAGCTTCTTCAGGGTCTACCGGGGGTTTGGTGTTGTTCGGGGTGGTTCTCTCTAACCCTTCACGGTCATCACCATCATCATCAAAAAGCTGCTCTAGCTCTTCAACACCAATGGCACCACCCACATCACCTGAATCAAGCAATGGGCGACCGACCGACATGCACGCTGAACTACCTACTGGCACGCAGGCTGCACGACCTACCTGCAAGCAAGCTAGACTACCTACCGGAACACAAGCTGGGCAACCTACCTGCACGCAAGCTAGACTACCTACCGGAACACAAGCTGGGCAACCTACCTGCACGCAAGCTGGACTACCTAGCTGAACACACGCTGGGCAACCTACCGGCAGCACTTCTCTGACAGCGGCACTCTGCAAGAGAACTTCACGAGCTCTCTCTTTTGGCTGCTGCTCAAGAGCGGCTAAAGTTACAGGTCGCTGTCGCTGCTGATTGCCTCGACCTCTTCGAGGTCTACAAGCGGAGGAACCAAAGGTGCCGGTTTCACTGCCGTTGCCAAACTGGTCGGCGGCGCCACAAATCGTTCCTCTGGCGTGGGCATCTCGATGGTGTAGTGAACGCCCACCACCGCCCGGGGCTTCGGCACATGCTTGGATGCCGGCATCAGCTTCTTTGTTATAGGCCTTGGTGTGGCTGCCGGCGGCATGAACGACGGCCTTGATGTTGGAAATGGCGCCCGGAGAGAAGGCGCTGCTGTGGGCGTTGGCATCGGCGCTGAACTCGGCGCCACTGGTACTGTACTCGGCCTCGGTGCTGTGGTCGGTCGGGCCGGATAGGGCCTGTAGCGGTAATCCATGGGGATCTGCGGGGGCACGTGCATCTGCATGGGAAAATGTATGGGCACCTGCATCTGCATTGTTGCTGGCACCGACCTTTGAGCTGGAACTCGAGGAGGCTCCGGCGTATTCTCCACCAACGGTGGCGCCGGCGGTGGCGCCGGTGGTCTCGGGGCCTTCCCCTTTTCCTTTGAGGCTGCTGCTTTTGCAAGGGACGCTCTGCGGGCGAAGGTCGCGGCATCCTCCGTGTCCATGAAGCCGAGGCGCACTCCTTCTATGGCCGAAGAAGGCATGTGCCTCGTCGGCACCACAGGATCCACCGTCGCCACCGGAGGTGTTGTTGTTGCCACCGGCTTGCCACAGGGGCCGGCGATGTCAAAGGAGCCGGCGTTGGTGCCCTTCGGCGGCTTTGGAATCGCTGCTTTCGGACCCTTCGGCGGCTTTGGAACCGCTGCTTTTGGAACCTTTGGAGCGGCAGCCTTCGGAGCGGCCCTCGGTGGAGGTGGTGCTGTCCAGATGTTGGGCGGCGCTGGCGCGGCCTTTGGCGGACTCTTTGGCGGACTCTTTGGCGGTGTGGTTGGCCCCTTTGGTGGTGTAATCGGAGACTTCGGTGGTGTGGCTGGCCCCTTTGGGGGCGTACTTGGCACCATAGCTGTTGAGCCTGGGGTCTTCGGTGGAGTCACAGGCTGCTGTGCCCCACGTATCGCGGACAACACCCCCTGCCTCCTTTCGCTGGCTCGCTGCCTGAACTGGGCTAGATCCGCAATTTTCTCCTGCATAACGGCGCTCTGGGAGCTGGCTGCGGGCGCACCCGAGCCAGGAGCAATGTTGGAGGCTGTGGTGCTCGACGTTGGTCTCCATTTGCCCCAACACTCGTCCTCGTCCGTCTCCTCCTCCTGTGCTTCCACGCTCATAGGGACCGTGCTCGGCTCCGGCACGGGAGGCATAGGAGTTGTATCCGGCTCTGGCATGGGTGGCTTGAGAGGAGCCACTCTCCCACGCCATGCGTACACAGGAGTAGTCACGACCGGGCTGTCTGGAGAGTCTTGCCTGGCCAGTGCCTTGGCACCAGCCTTCGTAAGAGCGCCGCGGGGAGAAGTCTCCGATCCTGGCAGAATCAACGGACTCGGCGGCTCCACCGGGCTGCTTTCGAAAAGGCTCGCAAAACTCATCGGCGGACTCTCTTCCACCTCTGCTGTCGGCAAGTCCGGCTCTGTGAGGTGAGGAGACAATTCCGGGGAAGAGACCGGAGTCGGCAGCGCCACGTCGTTGGAGAGCTCCGTCTGCTCCGCCGGCAACCTTTGAACCCGGAAGGTCGAGTTCTCCATGTCCTGGTCCTCCATCTCTTGGTCCGGATTCGAACCAGACATCACGCCTTACACACCCTATTTGGCCTTCCGAGCATGAGCGGCTTTGGGCTTCGGGGTATTCACTGCCGGGACCTAAAAGGTGAGAAGACGCAACCGACCGACCGACGCACAAGCTACCTACACTCCTAGATCCTACTTCTCCTAAGGGGTGAGACGAGGCAACCGACGAAACTGCACTGCCTACGCTTCCCTTCTCTTCACTTTGCAAAACAAGCATAGAAGGATCTGGCTCTACATAGGTGCAAGCTTTCAACCACGACGTGTTGGCGTACAATTCTGTCTCAAAGCGCAGACCACCCGGAGGATAGGCTACGTGTAACTGAGGATCATAGTCATAATGAAAGATCCTAAAGCCTAAGGACTGCAAGATGCCTGAGCTAAGGATGCTTATCGAATTGGGAGCAATATACGCTTCCAGCTGGACTCGAATCTCTCTGTAAGTTTGGGTTCCAGAGGGCCCCTCTTCGAAACAAGGGAACCAAAGCTCTAGCAACCCATACCTAGTTATCTCCATAGTCTGGTCGTTGGCGACACTTACAAAGAGAGGCTCAACCTCAAGCTCTCGGATCAGCTTCGCAGTCACTCCAAGCATGTCTTGCGAAACAAGGTGAACACTCCCACCGCTATCAATCAAGAGATACGAGGGGTCGTCCCTAGTGACTGCAGGAAGTGCCAAAGTTGGAAAAGCAAGGCACTCTGAAGACCGATCCCGAAGCTGAGGCTGCGGCGCGGAAGCAAGGCTCAAAGCAATCACTGCTACGGCTACGCAAGCATACGTGAAACATGACTGCCGTGGGCTACTCAAGCATGCAACCAACCGACAAATCAAGCATCCTACCATGCAAAACATGAAAAACGTGAAAATCAAGGCAGTCATGGTGAAAAACTGTCCCCTCTCAGGCATTGCTTCAGAAATCTGCCCTGCCGCGGGCAACAGTGACGACATAAGGAGGGCCGCTTTGCCAATCTTCCCGGCACCCTTTGGAGCAGTGGGAGCTGGCGCCGCAGTCGAGGAAGGTGCAGGAGGGGCCACCTTGGGAGCGGCACTCTCTGTTGCCGCCGCTGCGGTCGCAGCAGCCTTCTCATCGGCAATCCTCTTCCTGCACTCGTTGGCCCAATGGCCCGGCTTGAGTAATTGAAGGCCCGGCTTCTTCTTTCCAGGAGCCGGCGTTGCAGATCGTGGCCTTCCGCCCTTCTTGCCATCTTTGCCTTTGTCCTTTCCCTTTCCTCCTTTGTCTTTGCCTTCCTATCACCATGCTTGCCTTGGCCTTTTCCATGACCTTTTCCTTTGGGCTCGCCACCCTTGGGCTCACCCTTTTCAGAACGGTCATCACCAAAAGCTGCAAAGCCCTTGGCGTTCGAGGCTTCCTTGTGAAAGTTCAAAAACACGAAGCTGCTCATCATAGAAAACCAAACCGCGCTCAAGCTGCTCCAAGGTTGTCAAAGACCCATGCAACAAAAGGTACTTCTTGCAATCATCATGAAGGTGCTTCAAGATGCAACTGATAACATCAGCCTGCTGCAGTTCAAGGTCTGGGTACTTGTTGGCAACGAGCGTGCGGTAGCGAGCAAAATCAGAAATCATATGGCGAAAAATATCCAATGGCCGTCTCAAGTGCTTTGGTGGCGCGATCAAGAGAGCCTGCTCTCTGAGCGCCTGTCCCTCCACACGAGACCTAACAGACAGTTCTTTGTTCAACTCACGCCAGAGGTCGTACCCTGCAGCGGCACCGCCTTGACTCAACTCGACAAGCTTGGCTATGTCAACTCCTTGCTGAAAACCAGCGAGAGCCTCCACAGCCTCTTGCAGTTCCTCCGGTCGTCTAAAAGACACAGCCAGGAGGTCAGTTCTTCGCGGTAAGCGGTCCACGTGGAGATTTCCTCATGGCGCGATCTCATCTTGTCTGCTGCCAACTTTGGCAGGGACGGAATGTAGTTTTCCGCCCTGTTGCTGCGCAAGCCTGTGTCCACATCCATCTTCACAACACCATCAGAGTCAACTCTGATGGTGTTTCCGAGTGCCCAGTTGGGAGCACAGGTCCGGTTTGGAGCAAATGCAACAGATGGTGCTGCAACAGCAGACTTTTATGCAGACGGTGACTGCTTCATTTCAGCAGCAACAGCAGTCGATGCTGCAGCAGTCACAGACGTTGATGCAGACCATTGAAACATCAATGCAGCAGCAACTGCAACAGATGAGGCAGCAAGTTGCGAGTTCAGCGCCTGTACCACCTACAGCGCCTGGATCTCTGGGAGTCCTATCGGATAAGTACTCCGAGTCCGGGTAGGTCTCCGCCACCCCCACCACCAAGAGATGTTCAGGATGTGGAGAGAGATGTCTTCGCTAAATCCGACAATGGCTGCCTAGTTTGCCTGTCATTGACTTTACGTCATGGAAGGATAGGATCTCCGAAGCTTTAGGCTTCCTCACCTGGATGGAGAAGCTGACCAGTTGGGTCGGTTTGGGTTCTGAGGTGTTCCCAAACGAGCTCATGCATGCTGTTCGAACAAAGGATGAAGGTGTCCTTGGTCAGGATAGGTTGACTGTTGAGCAGCAGAAGACATCAATTAGGTTGTTGCACATTCTGCGGCAGACCTTTGCAGGCCGTGGTAAGAGTTCTTTGATTCTGCAGAACTATGTGGACTTCGTATCAGCAATCGGGATTCGTGGCTCTGAGATTATTGGCGAAGGAGTTTTGCCTGAAATCTCGGTCTGAGTGTCTCTACTTCAGAGCACAGTGGGTCAATCAGACGGTGAAAGCGCCAACTATCCCAGAAATTATGAGAAAGATTGAATCTGAGCAACATAAGTATTCGAAGCTGTTGAGCAGTTTGGATTCGGATGTGCATGCGCAAGGACTCGATTTGCAAGAAGCAGATTTGGTCATGGTGTTGCTTAGAAGTTTGCCCGAGAGGTGTCGAAGCTACTGCTTGCTTCATGGTGATAGTGATTCGTTTGAGGATCTCAAGCGGGTTGCTTTGAAGTATGACAGCGAGTTTGGTCTGAAGGACCTGGTACAAAGCTGAATCCGTTCAAAGGTGATGAGAAAGGAAAAGGTGGTGACGAAAAGGAAACTCCTAAAGGAAAAGGTGGCAAGAAAGGAAAAACAGGCAGGAGCCAGAGTGCGTCCAGGGGTGGAGCTAAAGGAAACAAGGATGTGGAGTGTTGGAACTGTGGAAAGAAAGGACATTATGCTGCAGATTGCTGGGCTCCACCAAAGAAGGATCAAGGCAAAGAGAATGCAAAGAATGATGGAAAGCCCTCGCCGAAAGGTAAGGCAAAGGCAAAGGCCAAGGGTGGAAAAGATAAAGGCAAAGGAAAAGGCAAGACAGTTGCTGAAGTTGCGCCTGACGAAGGCGAAGGTGTTGATCTTACTGGAGATCAAGGTTGGACTGAGCCAGAGTCTGAGGCTCATGTGAGCTCGGTGATGCGGCAACTCAACGAGATCGTTGATGAGGTTCGACGGGATTGGATTCCGCCGGCCCAGGATGAGTTTGTTATGACCCGAGAGGCAAGTGTCAAAGTTCGGATGGCCGAATTGGAGCATAGGATCGCGAGTGATCTCGGTGAGATGCTGGGGAAGGATCTGCCAGGATCGGTGAACTTACTGAGAGGACCTCAGGTGAATGGAGTGAGTAGCCTGAACAACGATCAAATGGCCAACTGGTGGCTCATTGATTCTGGTGCTTCGGTGACAGTGATTGCCAAGAAGTTTCTCGATGACTTCACGGTGATGTCGAGGATGCCTTTGTGCCCAAGCGAGAGGTATTCAGCGGCAAATGAACGCCTGTCACGGTGTTTGAAAGGGTGAGAGTGAAAGTAAAAATGCCTCTGTATGAAGGGGATTCGTATATTGGAATGGTCCCTGTGATGGTGACTGGAGTTGTAGCTGACGTTGGTCACAACATCTTGAGCACTGAGCACATGGTTGCTACCGGCTGGGAAGTGAAGTTTTCGAAGGCGGAGATTTCGCTTCGTCGGGTGAAAGGAGGATTGGTTGGATATGGACAGTCCTGGGCCGGATGCCCATGGATTTATCTGCAAGGTGCAGACATGTCAACCAAGAAAGTGACCTTTGGAAGGACACATGTTAAGATGGATGTAGACCAAGAGGATTCGTCAAGTCCCATGGAAGTTGGGAACGTGTCGGCTATGACGGTGAAGATGAAAGAGGAACTCGAAGTTCATCGGATGCGAGGACATATCCCTTTCATGCCTGGGTGTCCCCATTGTCAAAAGACAAGAGGTGTGACGCAACATCGGAGAGGCAAAGATGTGGGTAATCGCCCTGTGGAGCTGCAAGCAGACTTTTGTTACATCAACTTGGTTACTGGTACCTTTGTCAAGGACCAGCCCAACGCACCCAACATGAAGATTTTGGTGATGACTGAGATGTCTACCAGAATGGTTGGTTGTGCCCTTGTCGGGACAAGTGCGGATCACACATCGACTTGGATTCGGTACTGGATGAATGCTTTTGGGTTGACTACTGCCGGATCTGCGGTGTTACTTCGGACTGATAGTGAAACAGCTGTCAGCGCGTTGATTCGCCGGGCGAATCTTGGGATTCGGGTTGTGACTCAGAAAGCGCCACCGCAAGGACATGAATCTGTTGGTGGAGTTGAAAGAGCAGTTCGGACTTTGAAAGAGCTGTTCAGCACGATCAGGCTTGACCTGAGAGCCCAAGGGTATGATCTGAAGCGCAGTCCACGTGCGTTTGAACTAGGTTTGGTCTACTGTGCTGCCATGCACAATCATCATTCGGCTGCGTTTGATGGAAAGAAGTCTCCTCAGGAGTTGGTTTTGCAGAGACCACTGGCGGAGTGTGCATCCACGTTGATCGGGATGACGGTACTTGCGGAATTACCGGATAGTATGAAGAAGACTTCTTTGTCGAGATTCGTGGAAGCAGCTTACTTGTATCCAGAAGTTGGTGGCTTGACCCATGTGGTGAGTTCTATGGTGAATGGGACACCACATCACTATCGGGCGAAGTCGATAAAGCATATCACTCCTCTGAAGGTTGGAATGGAGCATTGTGGACATTTGCTCAAGGCCTATGATCCTAGCGATACATTGGCACCTCCCATCTTGAAAGAGTTGGATGATGGGATACCTTCTGAAGTTGAGGGTGAAGTCGACAAAGCGTTTGAAGGAAAGGTGTCACAAGGACCTACCACAGACATGAGTCAGGTAGGACCACCTGCGGCATGGGTACGAGAGCATGGAGGAACACCTGGATGTCCAGCGTGTGGTGAGAAGCGTGGAAAAGCCAATCACAATGCTGCCTGCAAACGGCGGTATGATAAGTGGTTGAAGGACCAACGTGAGAGGTTGGTTGTTGAAGGGGAGCAAGAGACGGTTGGAGGTGAACCTGGATCTAGTTCAGGATCGACCGCGGCTCCGAAGGTTTCTTCAGAAGCGAGAAGCTCTGAGGATGCGGGGGTGCCTCTTGCCAGTGCACCTTCGTTGAAGCGTCCAAAGACCAGTCATGAGACTACCGGCCTGGAAGGCGAAGAGCCCTCAGCGGCGTCCAAACCAGATGTGATTGATGTGGAGATGTTTGAGGACCCAAGTATTCCTTATGAAAACATTCCAGATGAGGAGATGCCTCCGGGATACTTTGAAGATGAACAGCCTATGGAGATTGACAAGGGAGTAGCTGAAGAGGCTGCGGCAATGAACGTCGAGTCTGAAAGCTCCCCAAGCGAGCCTAGTAGGGTTCCAAGGCTGTTGCAGTCACTTCATCCAAGACTGGATGCCCCAGAAGGTTTTACCAGTGCTTGTGAAGAAGCAAGTGCGCCGAAGTTAGCCAAAGTGGTGAATGCTGTTCTGATTGAAAAGAACACGGTGTATCCCGAGCAAGTCCAGATGTGTGGATCGAAAGTTTGGTTGGCCAAGATGAAGAGTGCGTTGTCTGAGCTGGATGGGTGTCCATTGGACGTATCGTCAGCTATGGAGGGTCGACGTACTGAACTTGGTAGCATGAATTCACATAAAGCGGGAAGGATTGTGTCTGCTGATGAGGCACATGCGTTTGCCAAGAAGCATGGGATAAGGATCATCCCTACACGATGGGTACTTGGACCCAAGGTTGTGAACGGGAAAGAGGCAGTGCGCGCCCGGTGTGTGGTACAAGATGTGGCTAAGGGTAGTACGGCTTCATCGCTAGGTCTGAGTGCGACCACGCCGTCGTTGGAAGCTTTGCGAACTCTCTTGGCCATTGCTGCCAAAGATTCGATGGATATTGCTACCCTGGATGTCTCGACTGCATTCTTGCATTCCCCCTTGCCGAAAGGCGAAAAAGCAGTGATTATGTTGCCGCGGGATGTGAGTTCAAGATCTGACTATTACGCCCCGGTGTATATGATCCTTGATCAGGCGATGAACGGATTGAGAGTAGCCGCCAAGGCATGGAACTTGAAGTTGGCGAATGTTGTGAAGAAGGTTGGGTTGAACCAGTGCCCTACGGAACCTTCGGTGTTTGAAGGAACTGTGAAAGGAAAACGGTTTCTTATGCTGTGCTATGTGGATGACCTGATCTTGTGTGGAAGCTCAGAAGCCATTAAGTTGGTCACGGATACTTTGAATCGTGAGCTCAAGATCAAGGAAACGGGTCGCATCACTCCGACTGGAGGAAGAATTGTCTTCTTGGGAAGAGAGATTGAGAGGAATGGTGAGCATCTACGGATGAGAGTTCCACCGAAGTACATGGAAAGTTTGTTTGAGACAGACTTTTGCAAGGACCTGAAGGTGGTGAATAGTCCTCCGGATCTTGTGAAGATCATTGAGAAGGGTCGCGCTGATCCTGAAAAGGATAGCGTGTTGTCGGAGGCTGCTGCGATGCGCTATCGAGCGGTTCTTGGAAGGATTGCTTGGTGGGGCCAGTCTCGTCCAGACTTGGCTCGTTGGATGTCGATTCTTTCCCAAGGTCAGTCGAAGCCTACGGCGTGTTTTGAGCATGCTTTGAGGCAAGTGATTCGTTTCTTGAAAGGCCAGTATTTGTGTTGGTCTTACTTTGGTCCTGGGAGTGAGGTCCCAGACGGAGGATCTGCCACGCTTGATGTGTATGCGGATGCGAGTTGGGCACCGCAAGCGTCTCTGGGAAGGAGATCAGTGTCAGGAATCGCCATCTTTTACCGCGGTTGTTTGATCAAAGGAATCTCGAGGGTTCAAGGGTGTGTATCCCTTAGCTCTTGTGAGGCTGAACTTAGAGCGATTTTAACCGCTGTTCAGGAAAGTGAAGGACTGGCAACGCTGATTGGACAATTGGCTGGGTCCAAAGTCGAGATTAGGTTGCACACTGATAGTTCGTCGGCACGGGCTGTGTTGCTGAATCGGGGTTTGAGTCGACGAGTTCGACATTTGGACATTGCTGTATGTTATCTTCAAGAGAGGATCCAAGAGGCACAAACCCTCAAGGTCCTTTGGTGTCCTACGTCAGCTATGGTGGCTGATATCATGACGAAGTGTTTGAGTTGGGAGATTTTCTTGAGACACCAACAAGCTTTAGGGATTTTTGAAGATGAGAATGTGCAGCAAGTTTGGAGGATTTGCGGAATTCGGTTCTCTCGCAGCGACTCTGGTTCAAGCGCCACGCAAGCTAGCCCATCTGTGGAAGTCGTACCTTTGTTGAAGGACGACATGACGGATTCAAAGGCGGATACCCAGAAGGGATCCGTGGAGGCACCATATTGGTGCAAGCAATGCAAATGGCTGTTTAAGACAGACCATTCCCATGGACTGGGATGGACGGATGAGTACAAGCCCAGGTGTGAGAAGTGCCAGGGCGTGATAAGTGTTTGGGGATCCAATGCCTCCCACGCCTTTCATCTCCGAGAGGGAGAGAAAGAGAAGCGGTTTCCGAAAGGCGGCAAAGGGGAAGGCAAGTCATCCCAGTGGGTGCATGGCGATGGTGGAAAAGGTGATGGCACCAATCTGGGTGAAAGCCCGATGGTGAAAGTTACGCCAAAGCCTGAAGGGCCACCGAGTGTGGCAACTATGTTTCCAGAGCTTAATGGGAGTGAGGTGCCAGCATGGTACACTGAGCTCTGGGGGAAGATGGGCATCCGAGGAGTCCCTCTTGATCAGGTGGATCTCCAACCTTTGTTGGAATCCTTGCCGGCTGAGGATCAGGAGTGGTATAAGAAGAGCTTTGAGAAGCTCAGCCACCCGAACTTTGCTGTGTTTGAGCATGGGGATCCGATGCCGGGTAAAGTGGTGACAGTCCTGGATATGAGATCGCAGTCTGGTGGCAAGTCTGTCATCTGGGAGACAACTGTGAATGGAGGTTGCATCTACGTTGAAATGGGCCCGGGGTTGAGTGGTTTGGCAGTGCTCATGTTTGTGCAGTACCTGAAGAGGAAGGGGTTCTTGGTGCTTATCCTTTTGAGTGGGCATCAGGACCCAGGGATCTTGCGGATGATGGATCTGCTTTACACACTTCCCATCCTGGGAGTGGAGAGTTGCACAAAGGGTGATCTGGAAACCACCTCCCATCCTCCCTGGGTGTGCCGATGGAAAGAGCATGCTCAGAATGGCAACGTGGTGTTCAAGGCGGTGTGCTGGATGTCTGATTTGACATGCCAGACACTCAAGGCTTTCGACTCTAAGGTGAAGGACCTCGGGAAGCCGTTGCCTCTGTGGGCCTACTTTGCGTACACCAACAATGATGTGGTGAAGGAAAGTTTGATTGTGGAATGCGATCACATGGCTGTGCAGGTTCCCAATGGGGTGCTTGAGAGCCTCCGTGAGCCTATGATCTGGCAGTGTGACTGCGCGTGGCATATGGCCACGGACTACACAAGCAGGTTCACTACGAACCTCCCGTGCATCCTGTGGGAGCACATCTGGAAGTTTTTGGGTGGGAACACTCAGAAGCTGATGGATGTTGAGCTCGGTTTGGAACAGGCTGTGTTAGCAGCCGTGGCTTCGCATGACCTCGAGGTGGAAACTGAGAACAAGAGGAAGAGGCGTGCGGAGTTGGATGCAGCTGAGGAGGAAGCGGCTAAGAAGGCCAAAACGGAGCAACCAGCTCCAAGCTCACCTGCACCTCCGGTGCTTGATGGAGCTATGATTGCGCAGATCGCTGCAATGGTAACAGCGAGTCTGAGTGTTGGTGACTTGGAGAAGCTGCTGGATGAGAAGAGACGGGCATCTGCTTCTGGCAGTGCTCAGGGATCTGAGCATAGCGGTGCTCAGCAGGACCAGCAGATGGGCCAACGGGTTGCTGAGTTGGATCAGATGAGGGATGCGGCACAGGAGCGCCGATCCCAGCTGGTTGAGAAAGCCTCTGAGAAAGCTGATGAGGTGAAGGATGCAGCTGATCTGAAGTGAGGTGCAAATGGACCTCGGTTGGATGTAGCTGCCTGTAGGGTAGAAGCGCCATGGCCTTCGCCGCCATGGCCACGCCTCTTTGTTTCGCGACGCTGGGCGCTGTTCTGCAAGGGCCTGTCTTGAAGGAGAACTGAGGGGTTCTGAACGGCCTTAGCAGCTGTACGTGTCACTACGAACTCTTAGTCCTTTTGTAGGTCTGAGACCCTCCTGTACGAACGGTGCAGGTGTGCAAGAATCTTCGATCAAAGATCGCCTCTGTGTGTCTGTGTTGTTGTGAGTGGCGAGTACGCACCAAGGGAATGTGGCCTGGGCATCCCCCTAGTGCTGAAGTGCCACTGCCGGTGCTTTGTCGTTTCTGCAAAGATCTTTGAGGAAGCCCTCAGCAAAATGCGGGGGGTGTAAGATCGTCAGCGTCTGTAGTCGCTTGTAAAAGCACTTTCGCTTGTGAGTGTTTTGCTTCGGGAACGGTTTCAAGGTTTGGTTGGGAATCTTGATGATCCCAAGGTTTGATATGAAACCTTCCGGGTACATTTGAGAATCTTCGATCTCAAAGTGTACCTTAGTTGCTGTTGAGGACTCCTTGATGGATCCTCAGTGGTATGTTTATATCCCACAAGATTTACTTCGTAAGTCTCTGTGTGGTTAGAGCCCAATACGCTATAATTCGTTTGTTTGAATTCGTTTCCACACTTACGTGTGAAGTCTGACGCACTCCGTGAACTTTGGCTCAAGCCGAGTGAAAAAGACTTGCAGCTGTCCGCTGTGCCCGTAGGGACGTGTCTCCGAGGGAAAAGGTCTAGGAGGGACCTTAAGTTTTTCACGTGGAAGGCCAGCTCTGTGTGGGCCAGGCATTATGCGCAGCAGCCGAGACTTCCGTGTTTTATGGGTGGCCCAGCAGGACGCATTCTTGACTGCAGATCTAGGATCTTCCAGGCCTTTCGAGTTGTTCGGCTCCAAGCCTGGTGATAAAGAGCCAGCCCGACGATTGCGAAGGTTCCAGGAACAAGGAGTGTTCTAATGTGGTCGGTAATGGGAGCAGGCAGAATCAGGTGAAGTCCAAGTTGGAGCTGCAGGCTGTGAGGCGTCTCCACAAAGGAAGCCAAGTGGATCAGAGCAAGAAGCTTTGACAGCTTGCCAGCAAGCTGTCCAAATCCATCTGTTAAATTCAATCAGAGGCAGCGCTGGACTCAAGTTCCGTTTTCTGCACTTGGCTTGCAAAAACAGAAATTTGAAACTTCAAATTTTTCTCGCGGAGACAACTCTGTGATGAGGCCACAAGTCTCCTTGTCACACGAGTTTTCGGCAAACCACGTCTGCAAATACAGCAGACCATGTCCACCGAGGAAGAGGTGCAAAATGGCGCATGACTTCCTTGGACATACGTCCGTAGAGAGGCACGACTTTAAGACTGTCGCTCAAGTGTGAGTTTCTCTGCTTTTTAACGCCGTGGTTTTGTCGAAGCTTTCGTACTGGCTGACGGCGCGAGATTTTGGAGCCAACATGCGTCAGTAGAACGGAACCTTATTGCAAGCGAGAGTTCAGTGTGACTTTGCAAAGTTTCCCAAAATTCGGCTAAGCTGGCAGAACTTCTGGACCTGACTCTTGCTCAGTTAACTTCAGGAAGCTGTCTTGTTTGAGTAGGTAGTGTGTGAGGCCGGCAGACTCGCTGTCTGTGGGTGGTTGAGAAGCACAAGAGAGCAGCTGTCAAGCAAAAACGGAGGCTCGCTCTTGCTACTTGCTGTCGAGGCCAGGGTCCTTGAGGAGGAGGGTAGTTCGCAGTCATTGGGCAATTCAAAGTGTCTTGAGTGGTTTGCAAGCCCTTTGGCACGAAGTAATCTTGTGCCAATCTGACGGTCTGGAGGAGGTTTGGTTCAACGCTATTGCAACAAACTTGTGCTGCTTGAAGCTGCCGTGCCGCTGAACAGTGCGCAAGAGCTACACGCCGGGCTCCCAGGTTTGCAGCTCAGGCTCCAACACACCCGCCGTGAAGTGTAGGAGCCAGGTTCCGCGCACGCAGGTAGGTTGGAGGTCAGATCGCGCTGCCGCAAAAGTTAGGGCCACACAGGTCAAGAGGCAGGTCTTGCTGTGCTGCACGCCGCAAAGCTTCCAACATCATCGTGACGGGGGCGAAATACTATCGCTACCCAGATTGATGGAAATAAGGTTTTGCCGAGAGCTTTGCGCTTTTTAGGGGTTGGGTACCCGTCCCACCCTTTGGCTGAGCCCTTCTAAAAATTTAGGCCGCTGCACAGGGTTAGTTAAGATTTAGGGCAGGTTCCTAACCCGATAAGCTGAAGCGGTGGTGCTTGGTATAGCCAAAAGGTAGGATCCCAAAACCTGCAGAGGGGGAGTCATAGCCAAAAGCCTGAGATCCCAGCTGGGAGGCCAACACTCGCCAAGCGAGCTTCGGGGGGGGGGCTTGCTTGTGCAGTTGTGGGTTTGGTTGTGCCTGTTTTGCCAAGGTTTTCTGTACTTGGGTGACGAGACTCACGCAGTCAACGCTCGGCGTGGTGGCCTGCCGGTAAAGCCACCCTTGTCACCTGTTCAGTCTGCCTATGCCGCCGCCATCTGTGTTTGAGCGCACACGCACTGTGAACATGCCTTCCACGTCTCGCATTACAGCCAGCTGTAGAAGAGGTAGGTCTTGCTGTGCTGCACGCCGCAAAGTTTCCAACATCATCGTGACGGGGGCGAAATACTATCGCTACCCAGATTGATGGAAATAAGGTTTTGCCGAGAGCTTTTGCGCTTTTTAGGGGTTGGGCGCCCGTCCCACCCTCTGGCTGAGCCCTTCTAACAATTTAGGCCGCTGCACAGGGTTAGTTAAGATTTAGGGCAGGTTCCTAACCCGATAAGCTGAAGCGGTGGTGCTTGGTATAGCCAAAGGGTAGGGGATCCCAAAACCTGCAGAGCGGGAGTCATAGCCAAAAGCCTGAGATCCCAGCTGGGAGGCCAACACTCGCCAAGCGAGCTTCGGGAGGGGGGCTTGCTTGTGCAGTTGTGGGTTTGGTTGTGCCTGTTTTGCCAAGGTTTTCTGTACTTGGGTGACGAGACTCACGCAGTCAACGCTCGGCGTGGTGGCCTGCCGGTAAAGCCACCCTTGTCACCTGTTCAGTCTGCCTATGCCGCCGCCATCTGTGTTTGAGCGCACACGCACTGTGAACATGCCTTCCACGTCTCGCCTTACAGCCAGCTGTAGAAGAGGCAGGTCTTGCTGTGCTGCACGCCGCAAAGTTTCCAACACGGGGGGGGGGCTTGCTTGTGCGGTTGCGGGGTTGGTTGTGCCCGCTTTGGAACGGTTCTCTGTGCTTGGGTGACGAGACTCACGCAGTCAACGCTCGGCGTGGTGGCCTGCCGGTAAAGCCACCCTTGTCACCCGCTCAGTTGCCTGTGCAGCATGATCGGGCGCCCTGTGCCTTAGCAGTTTGTCCACAGGTTCGAAGGCCAAACCTTTTCACTCGACGCAGAGGTAGGTCAGGAGGGCTTGTTCATGCACGCAGGTAGGTTGGAGGTCAGGTCGCGCTGCCGCAAAGGTTAGGGCCACACAGGTCAAGAGGCAGGTCTTGCTGTGCTGCACGCCGCAAAGCTTCCAACATCATCGTGACGGGGGCGAAATACTATCGCTACCCAGATTGATGGAAATAAGGTTTTGCCGAGAGCTTTGCGCTTTTTAGGGGTTGGGCACCCGTCCCACCCTTTGGCTGAGCCCTTCTAAAAATTTAGGCCGCTGCACAGGGTTAGTTAAGATTTAGGGCAGGTTCCTAACCCGACAAGCTGAAGCGGCTTGGTATAGCCAAAGGGTAGGGGATCCCAAAACCTGCAGAGGGGAGTCATAGCCAAAAGCCCGAGATCCCAGCTGGGAGGCCAACACTCGCCAAGCGAGCTTCGGGGGGGGGGCTTGCTTGTGCAGTTGTGGGTTTGGTTGTGCCTGTTTTGCCAAGGTTTTCTGTACTTGGGTGACGAGACTCACGCAGTCAACGCTCGGCGTGGTGGCCTGCCGGTAAAGCCACCCTTGTCACCTGTTCAGTCTGCCTATGCCGCCGCCATCTGTGTTTGAGCGCACACGCACTGTGATCATGCCTTCCACGTCTCGCCTTACAGCCAGCTGTAGAAAAGGCAGGTCTTGCTGTGCTGCACGCCGCAAAGTTTCTAACACCATCGTGACGGGAGTGCGAAATACTATCGCTACCCAGCTTGATGGAAATAAGGTTTTGCCGAGAGCTTTTGCGCTTTTTAGGGGTTGGGTACCCGTCCCACCCTTTGGCTGAGCCCTTCTAAAAAGTTAGGCCGCTGCACAGGGTTAGTTAAGATTTAGGGCAGGTTCCTAACCCGATAAGCTGAAGCAGTTGTGCTTGGTATAGCCAACGGGTAGGGGATCCCAAAACCTGCAGAAGGGGAGTCATAGCCAAACGCCTGAGATCCCAGCTGGGAGGCCAACACTCGCCAAGCGAGCTTCGGGGGGGGGCTTGTGCAGTTGTGGGTTTGGTTGTGCCTGTTTTGCCAAGGTTTTCTGTGCTTGGGTGATGAGACTCACGCAGTCAACGCTCGGCGTGGTGGCCTGCCGGTAAAGCCACCCTTGTCACCTGTTCAGTCTGCCTATGCCGCCGCCATCTGTGTTTGAGCGCACACGCACTGTGAACATGCCTTCCACGTCTCGCCTTACAGCCAGCTGTAGAAGAGGTAGGTCTTGCTGTGCTGCACGCCGCAAAGTTTCCAACATCATCGTGACGGGGGCGAAATACTATCGCTACCCAGATTGATGGAAATAAGGTTTTGCCGAGAGCTTTTGCGCTCTGTAGGGGTTGGGTACCGGTCCCTGACTCGCCAAGAGAGCTTCTGGGGGGGGCTTGCTTGTGCGGTTGCGGGGTTGGTTGTGCCCGCTTTTGAACGGTTCTCTGTGCTTGGGTGACGAGACTCACGCAGTCAACGCTCGGCGTGGTGGCCTGCCGGTAAAGCCACCTTGTCACCTGCTCAGTTGCCTGTGCAGCATGAGCGGGCGC